GAAAGGTTACTATTCTAAATACTCCTAATGATATGCGAAAATGAAATAACTCAAAATAATCGATCATTAGCACTACTGCATATTTATGTGCACGTGAATAATGCCACGGATTGGCTATAAAAGCGCCTCGAGTAAATACACTCATTCTTGCTTAGTTTTGCCAGCGGAATGAGCTGGACTGACGGCCCACCCACCCACCCATGGGTCCACGTGGGTCGTAGTTGACAGCGCCCATCCCATCTCTTATATATCAACTGAGCATGAATGGGAGTATGTGGAATAGGTTACTATATTTAGTCAAAAGTCAAATGCCCACCCGTTTGGACATATATTCAGGATGAATTTATAGGATTATTTAATTATGGGATGAATTATAGGATTATTTTTTAGGTCGCTTTCCCAAGATGTATGTATTTATACTTATTAATTATCCTAATTTTATATACACTCAATTGAAGAATYGTTGTGCGGTTCAGAAACATAGAACATAGAAGSTGAGACCGAAATGGCAAATGGGAAGTACGTTAATTAGACGCATGCTGTGACCGGCGACCTSTGGCATCATCCACTGTTTTTGATACATGTTTGGCATTCTAAACCGACTGCATGGATGGCGCAAATGAATCAATAATTATAATATGATTATGTCATTTACCATGTGCCATTTCGGTCTCAGCTTCTATGTTCTATGTTTCTGAACACGACAACGATTCTTCAATTGAGTGTATATTCTTATATGTTAAATTATTGTACATACATTATTTATTTTTAGTTTATTTACTTATCTTTAATTAATTAATTTTTATTTATTTATTTTATGCAAACTCCTAGTATAGCCTTGCTTATTTAGGAGTATACCTATTAAAGTATATTAAAGTATTAAAGATGTCCCTGAAGTAAAGATGAAATTGAAAGATGAGTAGATGAAATTGAAAGCCGTTATAAACCCAGCTCATAGGTTATATATAAGTAAAATTTCCATAAGTTACTTTTTCTCCCCAAAATCAAGATAATTTACAAATTGTCATTTGGGTATCGAGTGAAGGCCTTAAACCCGTGAAATAGATGTCAAAGTGGGTGTTGTCTCAGCAAAATGAGTGTGGCAGAGAGTGTGTAACTTGGAAAGCTTGTAACCAATTTAACTTGACAAAAACTCTACCCCCTTGTAAGTATAGTTCACATCTCGTCTTGACTGCCTTTTTTAGTTTTTAAGTTCTAATGGTCCAAGAAGATAAAATAGATTAATATTTAAAATTGTTAACTTAATAATTAATATCAGTTAAGACTAACTAAAATAATTAAATCACTTTTATTTAAGTGTCTAGTCGTTCTAG